AGTGGAGTTTTTTTTAAGTAACTTTATTATATCTAATGCATGACTTCGTTGATAAATACAGTTTTTTAATATAAAACTCATAAATCAAAAGTTATATATAGTCGATAGGACTATTAAAAAACTACTTCAAGTATTTTGGCTTTTGAAACTACGTCATTTAAATTTCCAATYGTTATTATTTAAGGCTTCGCGTCGTAGTTTCCTGCGCTTCTCTCGTGTTCTCCCCACATCCCAAGTGTTTTTATCAGAGTATAATACACGGAAAACTGTTTTTTATTGCTTATAAAATAACAAGCGCTCAAATAATCATGAAAAAAAAGCCGAGAAAAAAAAAAATGACGCGAGCGTGTATTATGCTCTCATCAAACACGGCTTTTTGGCCAATCAGAGCGCGKGTAATATGAAAGTTATTTTATAATACTCATATATTATCACTCAGTAGTAACGTCATCAATAATATGTCGGAATGTTGAAAACGTCAAAGGCATGATCAACAATTTGCTAGAGTATTCGATTTAATTTTTATTGTTCTTGTGTTTTTCTAATTCTTCTTCATGATTTTTAAAAAGATCTACAATTTCAGACCATGGTTGCGGAAATATTTGGTCTTGCAGCAAAATAAATTAAGTTTCGTTGATATATTTTGTTATAATACACTAGTCTGAGGCAAAAAACACGCACATCGCCCATGACGGCGTTGCGTGACACAAAAGAACTTAAGAACTGATATTTGTTAGCWTGCATCGCCATACGATCCAGAGATTCTATATTTTTGTGACTAGTTCGCTGATCAGTTTACCGCCGGCTCATGCTGCAGGTTACTTGGGGGCTTTGAGAAAGATGTCCTTCAGGTCTGATAATCTGTCTGTTGTTCTTCATGGAAAAGAAGACTTGCGTATKGTAAGCAAACTAGCAGTAATAGAAATCTCAACACTATAAACTTTACTACATATTCACTGCCGCTGATTTCGCYGGATTTCATTAGAAACTCAACGTTGTATTATTTGTACTTTCTTATTTGTACTTTTTTCTTATTATAACAGGAAGTGCGACCAATATCTCAACTYAGGCCTGGAGGTATGTGATTAAATAGTTATATCTGCAAACAGCTTAGCTTCTATGTAGCTAGGTTGTTTTTTGTGCTGGTTTTGGCCATTTTACGACATTTCACCTCCTTGTGTTGGAAGGACTGCACTGGACTGTACAGTATATTGGATGGTGGACTAAACTATAGAACGATTGGAGTGTACTGATTTTAATTATGGACTAATTTTAATGATTTATCATTTTCATTATTATTTTATTATTATTATTTTTTTGCCATTGTGAAAACTTTTACATCAATAAATCCAGGAAATCCATGATAACAATGTGCTAATTGAGATTAAACTTGTCAATTTTTTTTCAGAGGTTCGGATATCTATACAACGATGTGGTATATGTGGTACAGATATACATTTTTGGAAAAGTGGAGGTTTGGAAGGATATTTTCCTGATGCTCCGCTTGTCTTGGGACATGAATCAAGTGGAATTGTAACCGCTTTAGGAGAAGGAGTTACAGACTTTCAAATTGGTAACTTTTTTAGGGAAGATGGATTGTATAGAATATTTTAATTTTGAAAAAATTTTCACTGGATTGTATTTTCGGTGAATGGAGCATTAATTACAATCAACTTATATCACAGTAAAGCACATTAGATCACAGTTTAGACATAGTTTATGTTTTTGCTTTCAATTTGTGGTAGAAGTTTGGTTTTCTAATCAAAACTGATATCTCTTTGCCTAAAATTGAGTGAGTGCAGTTCATACCCCAAGCTAAAATATATATAAAATATCAATAAATTAAAATTGAAATAATGCTGATCCCTAAGTTTCCATTTACTGTTAGGTGATCCAAATAAATTATTTTATCTGATTTAGGTGATCGTGTTGCTATTGAACCCAACATATGGCATGTCACAAATGTCAAGACTGTAAAGAAGGACGCTATAATCTTTGTAACAACCTGGACTTTTGGGCTGTRCCCCCTTATGAGGGTGCTTTATGCAGGTGGAAAAATCATCGTGCYAATTTCTGCTTCAAGTAAGTTTTGTTGTTTTTCACTTCACAATTSATAGCTTATTTTGATTAACTTGATCCCAGACCACATTCAATGGACATTTGCTAGCAGGATTGTCTCTAACAAATGTCTGAAGTAACTTTCCATATAGCGGAGTGAAGATAAGTGTCAGGATTTGTGTTCTCAAGGATTCCAGACAATGTGAGTTTTGAGGAGGCAGCATTGTTTGAGCCCTTGTCAGTTGTCATTCATGGATGTCGCCGAGCTGGTGTGACAATGGCTGACAAAGTCCTGYTTTGTGGAGCAGGTACATACATTATACTCATCTGTCTGTCAGTTAGCTGCTTGTCTGTCTGTCTGTTGATTGATACCTGTCCGTCAATCAGCGGTCTCTCTGTCTGGGTAACTTTCCATAGGTACAATAGGACTGTTGGCTCTCCTTGCAGCAAAAGCAAGTGGAGCAGCTAAAGTTTGCATTACAGGTATGTWCATGTAGGTTATCTACTATACTTGCATGATATTAATGCTAAACAATAAACAATTGCAGATATTTCTGAAAGTCGTCTTGCTAAAGCCAAGGAGATCGGTGCAGATTATGTCTTTAACGTAGAGGGTCAAGACAGTAAAGAAGCCGCTAACAATATCGTGGAAAAATGTGGATACGTTGACAAGACCATTGAATGTACAGCAGTAGAGTCAAGCATACAAACTGGGATGTATGTAAGTGGAATATAGTGAAAGCCACGCACAAACTAGTTCAATTTGAGTTTGAAATAAATGTTGAAAGTGCTTATACAATATCAATACAATAGTACACTTGGTAAATCTTATATYCAATACTGTAATAACCCACTTATGAAATATCCTAACATGTTCTTAAAACCTAAMTTCTTGTATTTCTTTACGTATATCAGAAACAAAATAAGCTGTATGTCATTATATCGCTATTTGAAAACATGTATTGAGCAATTASGAATGAGCATAAGTTTAAAGTAGACATTTCATATAGTAGGTAAGCTTATGTTTTTAAAGAAACACAAGACAACAGTCTGTACATTCCAGTGTCCATATTCCATAGGTTACAAAAAAGGGTGGAACGGTGGCACTGATTGGCCTTGGAGAGGGATTTGTAAAGATTCCTGCGATGGAAACCGTTGCCCGTGAAATTGATATTAAAGGAGTGTTTGCTTATGCAAATTGGTGGGTGTTTTACTTATCGTATGAAATCACGATCATTATTATCAACAATTTAACAATAAATCATTCACCAGTCATTCTTTTCATTCATTTACCTGCATCTTTTTTTTCTTCATATTTCATATTTCATTCGCATGTTTATATATTTTTCTGTAGCTATCCCGCCGCCATTGCTATGGTTGCATCAGGTGCCATCAACGTTAAACCTCTCATAACTCATCACTTTAACCTGGAGGATTCGTTACAAGCTTTTGAGACTTCGAGGACTGGGGCTGGTGGAGCTATAAAAGTTATTAT